TTTTTTTTTACAACTATCATCATTATCAGTCCTTTAGACACACAGCGGTGCTTAGGGAATCAACATGCTTTTTCTACTCCTGTTGATCCTTTGCAAGTTGTGATGCATCTTCTCAGTTAAAGTTTGAGTCTGAAGTTCTGCCCCTTTAGAAATTAATATGTAATTTATTTATTAGTTGATATTTTTTTGCAACAACACCAAAAAAAGTTATTGACAAACTAGAGGGAAAATTGGAATGGAATCATACATGTGTGACAGCTCGTATATATGATCACTTACATAAGTGATAAATTACAAGATATGCTTGTCATAATAATTATTGATAAATAACTATTATCTGTTACTCAAAGGAGAAACTGCAGCAGCTTGTTTTGCTGAGAAGTCCAGATGTTGTTATAATAGCTCGAGATCCCCAAAGTGGTGAGTTTAGCAAACTTTTTATTCCTAAATAAGTGTGGACGTAATTAGAAGACACTTTTAATGACAGCCATGGGGACTCAGCAATCACATAACAAATGTAGCCTGCAGCTCATTCTGGCCACCTCAAGTCTGATGTTTATCTGTCCCTTACATATGGCTGGTAACTCTTACAAGTGTTGACATACAGTTATCACATTCTGAATCTGAAGGTGTATATCAGAAGTCCTGAAATTGTTTTCCACAGGCACTGTATGAATTTAATTTGTGGTTTCTCTTTGTTTTTGTTTAGATGAAGCTGCTGAGGAACTGAACAAAATCCTTTTGCTAATGTTGGGTTGTGCAGTTCAGGTTAGAAATGTTCAAAACGATTTAAATTCATTTACCAAATTTTTACCAATGTAATGTACAGTTGTATAGCTAGACTTTGTATATGAAATTAACATTGCACATATTTAAAAAATAGCCTCCATTTTGTGCAAGAATACATGTATGCTCTGATTTTTTCTGCAAACATTTTCTGTTCTGAGAAGTGAACAGTTTTTTGAGAGCTTAGCTCAGGGAAAACAATCTGGGTCTTATAGTGGCAATGAACTGTTCATGTAGATTGCCCTTTAGTGTTGACTAACCTTGCCGCAATGTGATAGTGGGTGCATAGAAAATCAGTGTCACAGTTTGTCTTTTGGGCAAGCTGTAATACAGCTTCCTAGCCTGATAGTTTTTTTAACTTGCCTGAAAATGTTTCTTTCCACTTAGTATGGGTAATCATACGGTTTCGAGTTCAATTTGGAATTAATTTGCACAAGTGAGTTTTTCAAAAAGCTGAAATTGCACGAGCTGCTTCGGTGAGTGCAATTTCAGCTTTTTGAAAAACTCACAAGTGCAAATTAATTCCAAATTGAATGAGAAAAACCGTATGATTACTTATTAATAATATAAACATGAAAAAATTAGCATGGAGGAAATGCTGAAAGATCTTTCTTGAAGCCATTTTTTCTCATTCGAGGAAACTTTTTTCAAAGTTTCCGAACAAAATTTTCTTCATCATTCTACGTGATATCATTGGCTCAGAAAATTTGTTATTGTCTTTCAGCCAATCATAATCCAGAATTACAATGTGTAATTTGCACTGGTGTTACACTTGAACTGCACTGCTCTCAGCCAATCAGAATCGAGTAATTTTTTCATATATATTATTACACAATTAATTAATAAAATATTAACATTGTTAAGACTCTTAAGCTACGGTTGTTCTGTAATTTGAATTTTCTCCAATCTTACTCCAAAATATTTCAATTGCTCACTGTGCAAGTGAAAGACAGAATCCACTAAACTAGCCACAAAATCTGCTAGCCTTGGGTTATTGGACATGGGTTTCTTTGCATGCTCTTCATTTGTATTTATGTTATACACATGCAATACTTGTAGCTTGTTTGATACATTTGACCTGTAGCAAAATTAAAAACATCAAGACTTCCTACAATCGTATTCCCTAGTAATGCAATATAACTTTCAATTAAATGCAAATTTAGTTTGGGAGTTACATATAGTTTTATTTCTTTGTAAAAGGTTCTGGAACTGTCAGTAATGTTTGAGTGTTTGTTTCAGTGTGACAATAAAGAGCATTTCATTGAAAGAATAAAGGGAATGGATCTTGAAGTTCAAAAATCACTGGTTGAGTACATTCAACAGGTAATTGATTTCTTGTCCTTCCACTATAACCATCATTCTGTTTGTCTCGTTTTGTATTTCAAAATTAATGTAACAAATGGTCAAACTCCGTTTATATCAGGACACCATAGGAACTATAGAAAATAGCGTCTTAATGACGTTTGTGCCCATTGTTACTGTGCATCCTTTCAGTACACAAAATTCCTGATTTTTGGGAGCTTTTTTGGTAAAAGTTGATCTTTACCATACTTGATGGTAAAGATTATCTCTTTGTAACATTGATACTGAAAAGCCCATTTTAGAGAGCAACAATAAATGTTTTTAAGAATTACTGCAGAAATTCACTCACACCCATTGGCTAATTTTCATTGCCAATAAGCGGACAGACAAATGAATTTATAATTTATGCAATGCATCAACGAGTGGAATTGTTGTTATTTTGTCTCTTGTCAGATCACAGACAACCCAGATAATGTACTTGCTTTCCGAGCTCATGACCTGGCAGAGTACCCTGCAGAGTGAGTAATGGTTCTAATAGGCAGTTTTACGAGAGCTGTATTTGGAATTAAACGTATGTGCCTATGTATATGTGTATCACATACAGTGTGAGTACTTCATCTTTCAAATTGCCGTCGATAAGTACATGTGTATCTAAATGTTCACTTGGTAGTTGTCAAGTATACAGATATAGTCTCCAGCCATGTTGCAAGCATGTGCCAATAAATAAAATATTATTTTTATCATTACTGTTTTGTTTTTTCAGCCAGTTGTTGCTTTATGCAGAAAACATGTTTTATCACATGAGCCAGCTTGCTGAGGACAGAGACAACTGTGTTGGAGTAAGTGCCGTATGTGTCACGTTGAGAATAAAAGATTTTGAAGACTTTCACTAACGATGTAATATTTGCACAAGCCTTAACAAAATGCAAGCAAGAGCACAAAGGTGAAAACATTTTGATCTTTATACTGGTACTTGCATTTTTCTTTGTGGAATGGATGGTGTTAACTTACTTTTGAGCGATACTGTAAGGGCTAGCTTGTTTGTTTGTACATGAGCGTTCTCCCAACTGTGAATGGCCATCTGTTGTAAGCGTAATTGATCTCATTTAGTTGCGTTTAATCATATTAACTTTATTTTTTATTAAGTTCTATTAATGTCGTATGTCAAATTTCTCTTACAATAGATGATGTCACATCTGTCATATGAAAGAGATGCATTACTTCGGGACAGTGAGGTGAGTTACAAAATGTGTAATGTCCTTTTCTATCTTCCTTTTTGGCTTGAATTTAGCATTTACATGTATACTTACAACAGTCTGAATTTATAATACTTGAACTGTTAGGGATGTTCCACTGCTTTTGATTTAGAGTCAAAGAGATTATGTTCCTCATATATAAAACGCGCAAATGTGTGGGAGTAACTAAAACAAAAGTTCTTTTTTTCTTCTTTCAAGAACAAGAGCCGCCGTGCATTTTCGCCACCACCAAGCCCGGCTGTCAGCCACAATAAAGAACTGCCATCTGTACAAGCTAACAAAGAAAAAATCCGACTCCTGACTGAAGAAATGTAAGTTAAGACACGCCACGCAGTACAACCTGCAAGGCATAGCTAAAGCATGTTTATGTTAGTGTAGCGGACTGCAGAGCGGGGTAAAATGCAGACTGCAGAATTTTTAAGTGTAACGTACTACCATTTCCATGAAAATTGAGTAACAACCACGGACAGACGAAGCTGGGCAGTTTTCAGGCTAGCCGGAGTGAAAGTCTGCATTCCAGTTAGCGTGAATAGCGCTCTGGTTAGCCTGTTTACAGTTACAATGGAGGTGGTAACAGGATAAAAAGTCTGCAACCTGCATTTTACCTCCAGTCTTTAGCCCGCGTTTACACTGAACGCTAAAGCAACACTCTTGCATGCAAAGGTCTGTGTGGTTACAGAATTGTTGACTACAGTACATATTTATTCTGTTACCTGTGTCTAACATAAACTCTACTATATTTCTTCATTTCAGAGAGGAAAAGAATGTGGCCCTCACGGAGCTACGTGATGAATTGCTTGCCAGTAAAAAGAGTCTAGAAACACTCCGGCAAGAGGTACACTGTGTTGTGCTGTTGTAATATTCTTTGTAGTCTAAAGTTGATCTAATTAATTGTTATTGCTTTGCACTTGCTTAGAACAAGAGTTTGTCTCAAGATGCTCGATGGGTTAAAGCTTACAGAGACGAGATTGATGCCTTGAAGTCAAAGGTATGGTTACTTGAGTTGACATTGATAAAATCTTACCACTAACGGACTGCCAAAATCTCGCAGTAAAAAGACATGCTTTGCTTTGTAAGGAAATTACATGTATATCAACAACTGCAAATTCACTTATGTCATAAGAACAAGGTTCCACCAAGCTTACTTGTACTTTGTTAGTCTGTTGTGATACGTGTTATGGGTAATGGCATCCCGCCAAAAGGCATGTCCATTTTAGACTCATTTTAGGATACCCCGCGAGATCGTCTTTTTTCCCACGGAAATAACGGAGAATGCTTTTCTATTCACCTATCGCAATTTCCGGAAATTCAAAGCAGAGTTTTTGGTGAATCGAAAGTGTTCCAGAATTCATATATATTCTCTTCCCTTATAATACAGTTACTCTGCATTATGGACACACAGCAATGGCTCTTTGATGTCCATATTAGAGAAGTTTGACTGTAAATTCTGTTAATAGTAAAAAGCTGACTGTTGTTTTTTTAGACGGATAGAGTAGATAGGCTGGAGGCTGACAACCACAGATTTAAAGAAAAACTGCGGGATTTAGATTACTACAAAAAGAGAGCAGAGGTAAGTTTAGATATTCTCTTCTGTGTTCAATATTTATTATGAGTCAGTGGAGGCGCGGTGGCTTCGTGGTTAGTGCGCTCGCCTCCGGATCAAGCGATACGGGTTCGAGCCCTGGCGGGGGACATTGAGTTGTGTTCTTGGGCAAGACACTTTACTATCTCAGTTCCTCTCTCCACCCAGGTGTATAAATGGGTACCGGCGAATTTAATCCTGAGGGTAACCCTGCGATGGACTAGCATCCCATCCACGGGGGAGTAGAAATATCCGTAGTTGCTTCATGCTACAGAAACCGGAATGAGCTGCGGCCTGATGGGCCACTTGGCTCATATGCAGACTTTACCTTGCCTTTACCATGAGTAATTCAAATATATACCCTTTTATTTCGTTACAAGGATGTAGTTGAATAGGTGGTAATGAAAGAATGCACAAAGTGAAGTTAAGGCTGGTATATTTGATATTTTTGTTGAAGTGGTTTAGACTGAACGATCTGCTTGATGTTTGCAGGAATTGAAAGAGCAAAATGAACTGTTGTATGAAACAAAGGTTGTATTGGAGGAACAACTTACAGGACTTAACTCAAAGGAAGAAAGGATTGGTGAGTAAATGTGCTATATCAAACAGTGGATCGCAACATGGCATTGACAACAAACCCACATTCCTGCGAGCCCAAAACCCCTTCCACACTACGCTGGAGGAATTTGAAAACGCCGGCTTTACGCTATAATGTGGACGGTAAACATTTTGGAAACAGAGCTTTTCAAAAACGATGGCGTTGCGATAATTAGGTGATTTTTCTGACCGAGTTTACCTCAAACACAAATCCAAAATGACCGGTGATTATTGCGTTTTCAGAGTCCTCCGGCGTAGTGTGGACGAAAAACGTTTGATACGTTTTCAGAGTGTAACCTTCGTTTTCAAATGGCGTAGTGTAGATGGGGCCTAAATCCTGATGATTTTACATGTACCTTGCAGAAATCTTGGAGGAAGAGAATAAGAAGTTGAAGTCTCACATTCATCATTTAGCAGAGGTGAGAGGTAAACGTGTTACTCCATCAGCTATGGAGTGCGCTTAGAAAGATGTCGCAAACATGTATTACTTACTCAGAATTCAGACCTCTATGTGAAAATAATAAGGGCCATGGCTTTTCGTTTCTTGCTGTACGCCAATCCACACCCAGCACTCGAAAAAAAAAAGGTCTGAAATCTCCTTCAGACACTTCTATACAACGGTCAGCTAGTTCTGTCTTTCCAAGGATGGCCGGTGTAGAGTGTTTCAGCTGTATCATAGATAGAATTAGCTACTTGTATCTTCAAATATTGCAATATTCATTTATTGTTCTATCGTTATATATGTATTTAATATGTAAAACTTTGATTTATTCAGGAACGACAGTTTGACCAATTAAAGCTCAAGGAAGTAATGGAGGAAAATGCGCAACTGATCGTTGACAAGCAGAACAGGTCAGCATACAAATTCTCTCTACTGCCCTTCCACACATTTATTTTATTCCATTTGGGAGAATGTAGTCTTAGTCGAGGCTTTCTTCCTGGAAATTTTACTCTCCTTAGGCCATGCGTAGCTCGTTGCTTTTGGACTTTCACGTAATCTATGTGTTGTAAATATTTCCTGCGTTGTGTTGTTCGTGGGAAAATTTATTGGAAAGTCATTTCTATGTTTGCATTCTTGGCAGTATGGCTGAAGTTGCTGCCTTAACATCAGAACTTGATGCACTACGGGGAAACAAGTCTCCAGGTACAGTTGGAAATTTATTGTTTCCTTATTGTGCCTCATTATCTAACGAGCTTGACAACATTGACAAAGGAAAGGAAAGCACATTCAAAGGGCATTTGGTGTAGCTCAAATATAAAACGAAGCAACAGCTTTTTAACAATATATATTGTTCTTGTGACGCTATTTCAGTTTGGCTTCTCTTTCTTTCAGGAACCACAACATTTGCTAGTGAATTTAGCGAGTCCAGGTATTCACCTTGTTTATTTAATTTGTTACATGACGGGCAATGTATCTTGCGTGCATCTTAAGAGTACAATTTCATTTTCTCTTTTTCACTAGACTACGAGAAGTTGAGAAGTCTTTACTTGAGATAATAAGGCTGTACATTCTCAAGACTTTGATTCTTTTATGTAAAAGTTGAGAGTAGTTAGGGATTTATTCCTACAGTGATTACGTAGTTAAGGGCCGGATGTTTCTTTTCTTTTCTAGCTCAATTGAAGTGCTCCGAATGCAGAGGGAAAACCAACAGCTACGGAAAACGATCGACGAGCTCAAGCACTCTGGTCAAAGAATTATCGAACTGGAAGCTGAAAATGAACAGCTACAGAAGGCGAGCATGGAAGGAAAAACCACCGTGTTTACTCTGAATGAGGTTAGAACCGATTGTCGCATGCTTTACAAGGGAACTGACTCGTCTCCAGTCTATCTCTTGTGAGAAAATATTCTGACGCGTGGATGATCGAGGGGACGAGTCAGAATAGGGTGAAGTAACGCGATCTCTTGGGACTGCAAGGTTGCAAAACACAGCGTGACTCTAAAAGAAAGTTCTACAATTCTCCGCAATAAAACGTCATGGTAATTCATTTCAAGTGAGAGCTTGGCCAGGTTGGGGGCTAGTTATAAACTTGCTTTGCAATCTTACAGTTGATTATCTCTTGGTTGAAATAAAACCGGCAGAATTAGTAAAAGCAAAGACAACTGAAAAAGGGGGAAAAATAGGGACTAAAAGATTCAATATTTCACGAGACTGGCAATTTTGATTTGAAACCTTGACATCTTTGAAGGAAATCCTATTCGATAATCTGTAGTTCACTTTTATCGTTATAAGCATTCACTTCTTCTCCAAATGCTTATTCTGTTTTATTCAATATATTTTTATATTTGTTGGCATTTGACAATTAATAGTCTGGAAATTAGGAAAGAGAACTGTTCATTTTATGATCAGCCTTAAGACTGTTCCTTTAAACAATTATGATAGCCGGAGGTTTTTAAATATCCTCATTGCGTATTGGTCAATGTCCTTTTTAAAATTTTGACTAACATTCTTAATTTTTCATAGGAACTCGCCAAATTGAAGGCAAGAGGGCTGCAACAAGAAAACGATTTGAACGCTTTGCGTTCCGTCGTGAAACGACAACAGGAAGAGTTGAAAACGTCGGTAGACAATGTGTTAAACTTGTCCGGAGAGTTGAGAGAAAAAGATATAGAAATGTCACAAGTTGAGGAACAGAGTTTGCTGTAAGTTTATCGATCACATCCAGTCTGTATATTATTGGTGTAAATCTATTAGCGTTCTGTCACGAATGCCGTCCTCTGATTGGCTACGCTACTCACTGTGTATTCTGTTTTAGTATCACCCAACTAGTGGACTAATGCAAATCCTGCATTTCAATTGGCTACGCTACGAGAGGACTAATAGTAATAGTCCTCGAGTAGCGAAATTGGCGCAATCGAGCGTGACGCTTTCTTTCATTTTATTCCCAAGTAAATATTTCTTCAACTTGCATTTGCTAACTTTATTATTGCCTTTTCTGTCCAACTAGTTGGGTAGTACTAAAACAATTAGACCCNGTGATACTAAAAGAATTAGACCCTTCGCCCTCAAGGGCCACGGGTCAATAACCCATGAGGCGAAGCCTCATGGGTTATTGACCTGTGGCCCTTGAGAGCGAAGGGTCTAATTCTTTTAGTATCACCCTACTAGTCGGAAATTTACGACATAGTTTCGTTTGTAGTTTGTTATTTGTACATTTTTGTCGGCCGGCCTATTTCACTTAGGTTACGGCCACTGCCACCTCTCTTGTGCAACGGCGCGTGGAGTTGAACTGTAGCCATGAAATGCGGCTGTATCCGCAGGCCATATTTTTCTTTACTAACCTCAAATTATGTCCCCTTTCCCACTGAGGGAGAACGAATCCCATTGTAGGTCAAGTAAGTCGCAAGCTGCATTGTGAATTTAGCAGTCAAAAGTGCTTCCCAAGAAAGGGTATCCGCCCTTTCTGGCAAATGAGGCTTTTATCTCCTCGTATTCTTTCACTGTTATATTAACGGTCTCCAATGTTTTTTTTTTTAGTAATTACCAGTTGTCTGAAGAAAAGGTACGGGATCTTATGAGTGTGGCCGAAGAGCTGAAAGAAAAAGAGGCGAAGATTACACAGTTGAACCAAGAGGTTGTGGAGAAACAGGAAAGAATAACAGAACTGAGTCGGCTAGCAGAGGAGAGAGAAACTAACATCATGGAACTGTATCAGAGAGTCAAAGAAAACGAGCAAGAAATAACGAATCTTGCAAAACAGTCCGAGAACAAAGAGGAGAAGATTTCAGAACTGACCAAGTTAATACAGTCAAAGGAGGAGAAACTCGCCGACTTGAACTTGGAGGTACGAGACAGAAAGAAGGAAATTTCCGCGCTACAGGATTTAGTGAAGGAAAAGGACGATCTTTTGGCGAAGATAACTCAAAAGATCAAAGACAAAGAAGAGAGCATTGCGGAGCTGAAAGAGAGCATCGAGGCTAGAGACAGACGGCTACAAAGCCTGGAGAAAAGGTAAATAGGTAAATTGTTGACGGACGAGACCTTTTAAAGACACGTTATTTTACTCCGTTGATCTGAAGTCAAGTATTAAGGTTTCTGGTGGACAGTTTTATTGCCTAACATATCAAACACGAAAGACCGTGTTTGACCACATTTCCAAACACCGAGAAGAGAGTTGAACTAAATACGACTCGTAGCGGAGTACTTTTGGCGAACTTCGAGGTGTTTGGAAATGTGCTCAAACACTGTCTTGAAGGTTTGATGTCTTCTCAATCGAAACTAAACCTAAGGAGAAACCGGAGAAATAAAATCGTAAAAATCTCTGCTAATCAAGATCAGATATCCAAACACCGTCACGGCCATGGAGAACTTTGTTTAAACTTAATGAATTATTAATCAGTTTGAGAAATCTGATTACCGTATTGTTTACCTCACAAGACAATAATAATACACTTTAAGAAATAGAAAACATTTTCCATGTTTTTATGGAGTTTGAGAGTTTAGTAGGATGAGTTATGTTGTGGGAACACGAGTCGCATCCACGCCTTTTTCAAATCCTCCCAAACTTTCGTGAGAATCGCGGGAAAACAGAAATGCGACAAATGTCAGTTGCATGTTGTTTTTCTCGCGATTGGCTAAGAATATGACATCTCCATCGTGATTGGTCGAGCACGTTGCAGTGCGTGATTTTGATTTATAAGCCGACTATTGAGCTAAATTTCACAACCGAATTAGAGGCAATAACTTGGTTAGGAGTTCAGTTCATCAAGCTGGTTCACATTCTGTCTTCCTTGTCTGTCTTCAGACTTGTCGAGGCAGCCGAGGAACAAAGCCAAACTGAAGAAGCTTTGAAGAAACAAAGGAAAAGTAACGTTGAGCTGGAGAACAGGTGAGCGAGTCTTAATATCTTGGTCGTGTGTTACAGCTAAGCGTTAAACTGACTCAATTTTCCTCATACAGAAATAACATGTGTTGATCTGATCTTTCTTGATCTTTTCATTTCAGAATCGAAGATTTCTTGTCTCAAAATAAAAAGTCGGAGGAGCATATTAGAAGAAAAGACGATGAAATCAACGAACTTGAAAACAGGTTTGTAGATCTAAGGTAAAGACAGACATTTTAGGCAATAGTCATACAACGAACTTGAAAACAGGTTTGTGTAAATCGTAAGGTAAAGATAGACATTGAGGCAATTGTAACACACGACCACATGGTTCCAAGTGCCATCCTATAACTCGACTCACATACTCTTTCACCTGCTTGTTAATGTGCTTGCTGATATCTAACGATTTTTCAAGCTTGTACGCATGTACGAAATAAATCTTCCTAAAACTTTGCGCCTCAGTCCACTTTTAACGAGAGACGAGGAGCAAAATCTTGCTCCATAATCAGGTTCTTTATTATCGACCCGCTTCTAATTTGGTTTCTTTTCCTTCAATTTTTTTTTTTTCAATCGGACAGAGTCGAGGAGACAGTCAAGCAGAAAAACAGGACAGACGAGAACCTCAGGAAAAAAGAAAAAGAATCCTACGAACTGAAAAACGGGTAAATATAGCAAAAGGTTTGTGTGTTGTGTTGTCCTCACGCACAGGTTGATTATTGCGAACAAGAAACTGCATAGAATGGACAAGAAAACGCCCATCCTTTTCTACCACAAAGAGCTAACTTTTTTTTTTACAGACTTGAAAAAGTCACCGACGAGAATGAAAGACTGGCTGAGGAGTTGAAATTCAAGGAACAAAAAGTACACTCTCTACAGAAAAGGTTTGTAAAATTAATAAGTTTTCTAACAAGGTGTTGGACTTCAACTGTGCCCCCGACAGTCATGTTTTTGAAGCCACCTTCAGCTGAATGATCTTATCACAGAACTAATTGAACAAACCGAGCTAAAGGAATTGATGTAGTTTAAGCAACAAAGGAACGGAACCGGAAAAGAACACGACGAAATAATGAGACGAACAGAGGGGACGAAACGAAGGTAGTGAAGGGAACGAACGAAGCGAATGAAACTAACAGATCGTACGGAGTGAACGAAACGGACGAACGAAGCGAGGGTAGCGCACGAAACTAAACAAGCGTAGGAAACGAAAGGAAGGAAATTAAACGAAAACAAAACGAAAGTAATCAGAAGACTTTGACGGAGAATCACTAAAATAAATAATAATAATAATAATAATATTGAAAGAAAGAAATATTGTCTTCTGCAGAGTGGAAGAATTAATGCTGTCACTGGATGAGAGCTCAGAGACTCTTAATAAGAACCTTAAGGAGAAGGAAAAGGAGAATAAAAATCTTGAGCGAAGGTAAAGTAAGGAAATGTTTGTTGCGTTGTTCAAAGCTAGACGGCGGGAATTGTCACTTTTCTGTCGGAAATCTAGGCAGAGCGAACGCGAAAATAGCAAGGCCTTTGATACTGCCAGCGTTTTTGAGAGCCTGCGAGCAGGTTCTCTTGGGCCCTGCGGCACTGGCGGCGAAGACTCGAGAAGGAGAAAAAAATAAAAAAATAAAATACATAAAAAATAATACAAGTTAGTTCTTTGGCAGGATTTGTACTTTTCGTTTGGGATAGCCGTACAGGTTTTTAAAGTTTGTTCATTGGTTTAGGATGGCTGTCAATCATGTCCTCTAACCTTTGATGAACATTTTTCAGGATTGAAGAACTCAATGAATCGCTTGACGAAAGAGAGAAAATCAAGCAAGTCGTAAAGGAAAGAGAAGAGAAGATTGAAACATTGAACAAGAGCTTTGATGAAAAAGACAAATTGTTGCAGGAACTGGAAAGCAGGTTTGTTGAACATAGAAACAGTGATGATGACTGATCTACGTATCATGTCTCCTAAGATACCAAAACAGAGATTGGTACGTCGGTCAGGAGAATACAGACTGAATCGATCGCTAAAAGGACTTGTCTGATATCAAAACAAATTCTCCGAACCATTACTATAAGAGGTGTTTGGAAACGAGTATAGTAAGGACAATTTAATAAGTTAACTTAAGGGTTGAAAAGAGGAATTGTAAGTGGTGTACCTTTGCCCGACCATTATACAGGCAAGCGAGAAGATGTTGAGTTACTTATAATGCAAGCAAATGTTTGAAAAACTAAAAAACATGCAAACCTTTTGCAGCTATACGATCCATCATCTTTACGATTTAGTAGAGGTTACCTTCAATGGCATACATTCGCTGAGAAAATAATCTTCTCACTGCTGTGGTTTCAATACCCGTTGTTGACAAGACCTAGTGGAATGATCAAGCTAGAAAAGTTTGATATCAAATTGGCTAGAATTAGCCATGGGAAATGTTGCAAAGTTATATTAGGAGAACAGAATTTTCTTTCAGAGACCTAGCACAGTCTTCCTTGCATTAGGAGATGCGTAGATATACGTGCTCTATTTTGTATTTATTTAGGTTGGAGGAATCGAAAGGGGAAAGAAAAAAGCTGGAACACGTGGTGAAACTAAAGGACAAGAAGATCGAAGCACTAGAGAGCAGGTAAATTGATTTCTCTTTTTTCTCTTGCAAAACTTGAACATTGCACCGTGTCTTAGCTCCGTGAGTAAAGGAGTCCTTTTTTCCCGGTTGCTGTTGTGTTGGCGGAATAACTGTTGTGTTGAGTTGGTGGAATAACTGTTGTGTTGTGTTCGTTGTCTTTTCACGCAGTCTTGCCGAGGTGGAAAACACCAGTACGGTACAAAAAGATGATCGAATCATGGAAATGAAGAGAAATGTGGAAGGAAAAGATAACAGAATTATTGAACTGGAGAGCAGGTACTGTGTAGAGAAGACGTGATTTCTACTCTAAACGCAGATTAAACGTGATTTCAAACTATCGTTGTCTCTAGACGTCAAGTTTGAACTTTTGGATATTTTTTGTCCACTCTCCGACTCACATTTGTTTAGCTCGTTTGATCTTGCGCTAGTGGTTGTGAACAAGAGTTACAGCAAACTTTATTCCGACTCTTAGTTTTAGTGTCTGTGTGACTCTCGCACTTGTTCCATAAGGCCTTTTTTTATCTATAACGTTTATAATGGAGTCCCTCTCTTATGCCACTTTGCGAGGTTGCTAAAGCGCGTGCGTTTAGTGGGAGGTACCATGGTCTAATGATTAGCGCTCTCGACTCCGGATCAAGTGGTCCGGGGTTAAAGCCCTGTTATGACAAAAGCTCTATGTTCCGTGGTTATCATCTTATGTGTGTGTTTTTTGCAGGTTGGAGGATGCGTCGCTCGCCAACTGCAAACTCCAACAGAGTCTGAAAATCAAAGAGGAGAAGATTACAGAACTAGACACTAAGTATGCTTTGACTCCTTCATTTGTTACTTATGTTTATGGTCTGGAGTTAGTGAGAGCTAACAGATTGTGGCTCTCGTTAACAGTTTAATTTGTCTTTTTTGCCAGGCAGCGGGGCATTAATATCGCCAGTAATGCCCGTGGGCATTACGGGGAAATCCGTTCCTGCCGGACAATTAGCCAATCGTAGCGCGCGTTATGTCTTGCCAAGCTGTAGCCATAAAGTAATTAAACGCTAACCCAAGTCAGTGCGAATTTCAGTAAAGAAGCACGTACTATGTTGGAATTTGTAAATGATGGTTTGAATTACGTGAAGAAAAATTCTGATATCAAGGAGACTTCTGGGAGAACGGCCGCTGTCGCTACCCAGCCTGGTTGAATCATACACTTGTCTAGGAGCTGTAAGCGTTTTGCGAAGGCCTGAAACCAGGCGAGGAACGAGCATATCTGAGCAGACCACGCGTGTTTTTCAAGCGCTATTACTGTTTTGAGTAGTGGTAGATTAAGTTGGCGTAATTTTTTTTTTTTTTTGCAGGATTGAGGATATTGAAAGTCTTTCGTCCGAAAAGAACAGACTCAGCCAAAGTTTGGACCACAAAACGAAAAAGGTTTTAGATCTGGAAACGAAGTAAGATTGGTTCATAAAATTTATTCTTTCGTGACTGATATTGATTGCTTCAACATTTTAACGATGCTTTTTTGAACCAATAGGCTGGAGGAAATGTCAAATGACAACCAAAGATTGCAGCTCAGCATTGAACAGAAAAATGGAAAAATAAGAACGCTGGAAAACAAGTATGGTTGCAGAACTGGTGTAACATGTAACATAGGAAATAGAACATGTAACATGTAATAACTAAACATAACACGACTAAGTAAAGTCCAACCAGAGAAATAAAAGATTTGTCGATGATAGACTGCTAAATGGGACAGGATGTTTTCATGTAGTGAGTTTTAATAACCTTCCTTTACCTTTTTATTGCCGCTCCAAGTTGAAAATTAATAGTGAACGGTTCGCCGAAAACCTTGTGAAAATGGAATAAAAATCGCGCAAACAACTCCTGGCTTATTAATTTTTTGAGTAAATATTACTCTACGTTTACAGTTTTTGTTACTTTTGTCAACCATTATGTGACTGTTTTGATTTTTATGCTCGCCAAAAGGTTTGCGTCCTGTTTCAGCATAGTTAATAGAGGGGATGGTTAAGAAGCCCGCTAAACATCAAAGAAGCAAACAAACAGGCAAAGATTTATGTTGGAAGGTCCTTGACCCTGCACATCTTTTGTTTTATGCTCACTGACTATGCATGAATTATGTAATCGTAATGCTTCTATTGGTTAGTTGTATGAGCACACATAACCGCCTTTTGTATTTTGCCGCGTTTTGTTTAGGTCAATCCCCAAAATAGCCAACAAAAGCACGCAACAAACAACTTTGTCAGGTTTCCTAACCATTTCCCTCTATTAAGGTTACTTCAAACCTTCGCGGGGCTATATTGCTCGATTTTTTTTTGGTCAAGAATATTAATGTCCGCGAAGCACAAGTTTGCATACTGTGAACGCTAGGGGTTCTGTTATTTCATTGGCTCGCGGCTTTCAAGTTGACACATTCCTCTGTGAAGTCGTGATGTGTTTATAAATCTTTAGAAGGCGAAAACTCGCACTCGTTTTTCGAGAGAATCCCTTCTCTTTAAATGAATTAATATGGTATGTAGGTTTGACCGTTTTCCATGAAATTTGGTCAGAACATTCACTGATAGATATGGAACAAAAGCGTGTCGGCGAATTCCTTTATTTTAAATATTTTTCTCGTGGCGGCTTTTAACGTAACAGGTTACGTGAATTTTTCGATAGTCGAACTTGACAGATCTCTAAAAAGATAACTAATAGAAATAAAAGAAAATACTGACACGTTTTTGGAGATTAAGGCTTTGTGATTAACACTGCACAGTTATTTTGCATGAACGATCGCATTTGATACCTGATTAATTCGCTGAAACGTCAGTCGGTCATTTTGGAGTTGACGGCCTCTGCCGCCTTTGGAAAGCAAAATCCGAAACAAAACATAATTTTATCAAATTCTACATTTTATAACCTTTCTGTTGATATATAGTTTGTGGGGGGATTCCTTGAAAACAGAGCGCGTACGAATTTTTTCTGGAGGACTCCCGCGAAGGTTTGAAGTAACCTTAAATATGGTTTCAGTGAGATCACAATCACAGCTTTTTAAGCGATATTCTTTGCCTGTTTGTTTCAGAGTTCTGGAGCTTGAGGAGTCTTTGGGTTCCTCGCATCTCTTACAACAAAACATCAAGCAGAAAGACGAGAAGGTGTCTTCATTGAATCAGGTCATTCAGGAAAGAGAGGAGAAGCTTGCTGAGTTGGAAAACAGGTCAGAGATATCGATTTTGATTCAGTTGCTTTTAATGGTTGGTTGCGATTTTGGGCGGAGCTTTTACCAAATAACAAGTGTAGTTCGTCTTGTGTGATCGTCTAGGTGAGGGTAGTTCTGAAAAGAACTGTTGTTGGTGATTGACGTTTCGACAACCTGAGCGGAATTCATCTTCAGAGTCAAGTGAATACTGTTTGCCAGTCGATGATGTTATAAGTCTGGTCCGTTGAAAATGATTGGTCAGATTATTCGTGATTTTATTAGCTAAAAGACTCGTGCAAAGTTTGTCAGCAGTCATTGGTCGGTTCTAGTATGTTTCGATCCGTCTATTGTTAGTCAAGTTAAGTATCGTTGACGCTTAACATACGCCATTTTGTGATTGGATGATAAGTGATCTTGGTGTGCGAAGCTAGACTTGTCTAGCGCGTCCTGTTTAGATCAGCTTCGTATTTCTCCGCACAATATCTTTACGTTGTCAAGCAGACAAGTGGTGAGAATATACAGTTCAACCCCTATTAAATGGCCACCTTCGGGGAAATGGATAGTGGCCGCTTAAAGGGGGCTGGCCGCTTAATAGAGGTAAAAACAATAGAAAAGCCTTCATCGGGACTTTGATTACTGGTCACCTAACAGGGGTGGCCGTTTAATAGGTGGCCGCTTAATAGGGTTCGACTGTACTTAAATAGCGTTATTTTCCTTAATCAGGTTGGAAGATGCCCAGGCCCGCAATCACAAACTGACGCACAGTCTGAAGATAAAAGAGGAGAAAATAACATCTTTGGAAGAAAGGTTGGTATTAAAACTTCTTTGTTTTATTTTTTTGCGTCGAAACATTCATTAATTATTTTGAGAAAAGTGAAGACGTCCTGGAAATTTAGCAATTTCATTATTTTTTTCAATAGTGTGGAAACTTTAGATGAGCTACTGTCGGAGACCAAAAAGCTCAACCAAGCAGTCCAACTGAAAGATGAGAAGATCAAGGCACTTGAAAACAAGTAAGACCCACCCATCCACGTGCTGCCTCGTGTTCTTGACTTATATTGTGTCATTGGTCGTGTTTCTCTCTTGGGCTCGCCATTGCAGCATTCGGACTCAATTTATAAACCTAACACAGTTGACCTCCTTAGTTTATTTTTGTCTCCTTAGGTTGGTAGAATTTGAAGAATTGTCCTCTCGCAATACCAAGCTTTCAGAGTATGTCAAACAAAAAGATAACAAGATTGTTCGACTTCAAGAAAGGTAATTATGTTATGAGGTCATTAGACTCTTAGTCGCCGATGACGCCTAGAGTGCCTCCTTATAAGTACTGTTGCAAGAAGTTTGATAATTCAAATAAGCACACCCCGCCCCCTTACCTTCATGCCGATAAACTGTGGGAGTCTGGATCTGATCGCTTTACAAAACATTCATGTCGACCTAAAATGGCTTGTTTACCGCAGACTAGAAAGATACTCGTTACTCAAATTTGCGAACCATTATCGCAAAAGTCCCATTAGGGAGTTTAAGTAGCGCCGAGGACGACGTTGATTAAACATTGATTCTATATTTTACGTTCGAATCACGTGGTACTTTAAGAACATTTACTTTGTTTGTCACTGTCAAAACTATCACGAAACTAAATCTGGGACACAGCGATAAACTTGAAATAAAAATTTAAAAAGTTCGCCGTCGTGGTTCACGTTCTCCACACAACGCAGAATTTGATCATTTCACGTTGTTGTTTTGTAGAGGGCGGCAAAGAAATGTGCCAAGAATTATAACGCACCTGCACAGCCATTCTGCTCATTAAACCTTTTGTTTAGCGACTTTCCCGTTGCCATTGCCGTTGTGGTTTTCTTAAAAACATCGAAACCTTTTCTGTTGTTCTCTTACTGTTTTAAGTTCTCATTAGCGTTTGTTTCACTTTGTAGGCTCGATGAAGTAGAGGATGCCGTGAATATCAACGACAAACTCAACCAAACGGTGAANGTCATTGGTCGTGTTTCTCTCTTGGGCTCGCCATTGCAGCATTCGGACTCAATTTATAAACCTAACACAGTTGACCTCCTTAGTTTATTTTTGTCTCCTTAGGTTGGTAGAATTTGAAGAATTGTCCTCTCGCAATACCAAGCTTTCAGAGTATGTCAAACAAAAAGATAACAAGATTGTTCGACTTCAAGAAAGGTAATTATGTTATGAGGTCATTAGACTCTTAGTCGCCGATGACGCCTAGAGTGCCTCCTTATAAGTACTGTTGCAAGAAGTTTGATAATTCAAATAAGCACACCCCGCCCCCTTACCTTCATGCCGATAAACTGTGGGAGTCTGGATTTCGTCACAAGACATTCATGTCGACCTCAAATGGCTTGGTTATCACAGACTAGAAAGATACTCGTTACTCAAATTTGCGAACCATTATCGAAAAAAATCTTAGTTCCACAAACGAATGGTTCTCTGTTTGTCCCATGATTAGGGAGTTTAAGTAGCGCGAGGACGACGTCGATTAAACGATGATTCTATATTTTAACTTCGAATCTCGCGGTACTTTAAGAACGTTTACATTGTTTGTCACTGTCAAACCTATTACGAAACTAAATCTGGGACACAGCGATAAATTTGGAATAAGAATTTAAAAAATTCGCCGTCGTGGTTCACGTTCTCCACACAACGCAGAATTTGGTCATTTCACGTTGTTGATTTGCAGAGGACGGCAAAGAAATGTACCCAGAATTATAACGCAAGTGTACAGCCATTGTTCCGCTCATTAAAAACCTTTTGTTTAGCGACTTTCCCGTTGCCATTGCCGTTGTGGTTTTCTTAAAAACTCCATACTTAACAGCAACAGGTGACGGCACCGAAACCTTTTCCATTGTTCTCTTACTGTTCTCAGTTCTCATTAGCGTTTATTTCACTTTGTAGGCTCGATGAAGTAGAGGATGCCGTGAATATCAACGACAAACTCAACCAAACGGTGAAGAACAAGGATGAGAAAATCGCCAGCCTGGAAACCAGGTCTTTACAATAGTGTGACTACAGACATATCGACGATTGCCTGTTAACTAGTGCATTTCTCATGTACAGAAAATACTGACGGAAAATTCTTCCCAACCTATCCCTTATAACTACAGGAGCAACTTATAACTACAGGAGGAACAGTAGCTTGTATACTAAATTTAGTTCCACTGTATCGTATCAGCAGTTTTTATGCTTCACATGTGAAAGAATACAATCCAAACATGTTTAGCTAGTTGTGCGTCATCGTTTCCTCTGCGCGTGCGTACTTGGGCTTGTTTGTTGTTAACGAGATTTTTAGTGGTGCTCGAATCACCGAGGATTTAAACGTGACAGGTACAGATAAGCGTGACAGTTGTGCATAACTGTCACGCTTAAACCTTTGAGAAGGGAGTTGACAAGCCTTCTTCGTATCTGTTATTTGCGTCACGAGCGACGCAAGGCATCCTCGCCTCAATCTTTTCTTAGATTTTGATTTCTCAAAGTAAACGTAGCGTATAATATTAAAAAAAAGAAAATTACTATTTCAGAAGTTTTCTGTGCATCACTACCGCTAGTTAGAAATATTTTTGCAAGTTGTTCGGCCTGTTCTCAAACTTAATTTCTTGTGGAAACACACCTATTTTACAGTCGCATTTGTTTATAGGTTTGTAACTTGTTTATGTTTACAGTATCGGCGAGCTGGAAAAACAGCTTGACAACAAAGACAAGGAACACCGAGAGATGAAACTTAAAGCTGACGAGCGAATTAGAATGCTGGAGAAGAAGTATGTGTTTCTATTTAAGAATAAAAAAGAAATGTCTCTGAAGTTTATAGCAGAGAATTAAACAAGGGTGGGAGAAGGATTGTCTCAAAAACAAACTGCAGTTATAAAGTGCCTACTGGACCAATTAATCTATGAGCAGGCAGATTTGTTAACGAGAATGAACAAGTTGTAAATAGTGCCTCGAGAAGTTAGTTAGAGGATTTTTTTGTGTGTCTGTTTTAATCTTTACCGATCGAGTTCTTAATATCCTGACCAGGACATTAATAATACCTTGTGAAAACTAAAGCAAGACTAATCAATAATTACCTCGCCCGTAAATAGATCAATCAAATGCGTTGTCAAAAAATTATCCTATTAACATATTTGGTATTTGTTTTTCTTATCCCCAAAACAGAAATGTCGCTTTGATTTCTTAAAGCACATTGACTACCAGGGATTAATGACACACCTATTATTCAAAACAGTCATTCAAGATACAACGCTGAATATGTTAATGATTTTGGATTAACCTTATTAATGTATTAATTATTAACCATCATATCAACCAAGTATAATTTATGTCTTCTAATGGTAGATACTAAATAGTCTTATTAGTTTAAGAAACAAAACTAATGCTTTAATAATTGTTGTGTTTTTGATTGGTCATCACTTTTAACTGATTATGTGTGGAATTTATAAAGATAAGTAAAAGCTATTTGATTTTTTTTTGGAGATGTCACGGAACGTTTCATTACCCACTCACAAAATTGCACGTTCATGTGCGTACGCAGAAACTGACTCTTCATGTTGCTTAGCAACGTCTTTGATGCTGTCAATCACTCGTGAATTCGAATGTTCCACCAGAAATAGTACTTATTCCTCAGCCTTTGTTTAGTCACATAACGGTGTCGTAACTCTTATTTATGTCATTTTTAGGTGATTTTTATTTAGGAGGGCTCCACTGAAAACCGCCTTTGGCGAGTTGGATTCCCTCACTAAATATTATTATTATTATTATTATTATTATTATTATTATTATTATTATTATTATTATTATAACCGTTGAAGCTGTACTAGTCTTAATTCTACAAGACAACGGTAACTACTCAGTGAGTAGAGGTACAAATAACTTGGTTGCAAACAGTCCCATTGCTGTGTCTTACTTATTGATGATCATGTCGAGCGCCGAATGCGAGCGACGAAATGACAGTGCGATCTTTCCTATTGAAAAATGAATCTTGTGACGATCATTGAATGATGAATGAGACTGGTTGCAGTAAACATTTTAAAAATATCTGTTAATAACGTAAGATACGATATTTTAATTTAGATAAATAAACTAAAGTGATGAACACAATAGGGTTTAGCGCTTCTTGTGAACTGACGGCTTTCTTTTGAAGCGTTCAATGTGAACTTCTTGTGAGGTTCGCCAGTTTCGTGTTTGTGGACTGACTGAGTTTGTTTGCAGCTTGGACGAGCAAACCAGTTATAAAGTGCAGCGACAAAACAGCGTGAAAAGGAGAGAAGATAAAATTGTAGACTTGGAAAGGAGAAGAACGAAGTAAGTTCTACACTGCAGCTGAAAGTATATAGGCTCGGCTGATAACGCCACACTCGTTTGTGGACTGAAATTTTGCGCGCTCTTAAGCTGCTGTTTTAAAAATCTTTCTTAAATCCTTAACGCTTTTTGCTTCTTGCCTGTAAACCCAAGAAAACTAACTTTGGTAATGTATTAACGATATTTATTTGCTTATAGTTATTCTGAGAATAATAATTTGGCGTAATTACTCGATGGTAATTATTCTGATGGTAATTTATCCTGTTGGTAAATATGTGGTATGATTACAGCGTGGTAATTATTCTTTGGTAACTTGGCATAAATTTAACGATGGTAATTATTCTAGCTTTGGTAACTTGGTATAAATTTAACAATGGTAATTATTTTAACTTTGGAAATTTGGCATGAATAGCGGAATGGTAATTTTTGTAACCTCGGATAAATAATAAAATTAACCAGGCTAAATATCTGTAACTTTTCCTCTAAGTGGCTCCAGTGACCATTTGTGATATGTTCAAGATATGTTACTCGATATGTTACTAGAAAACTGAGTGATTTGTTACACACCATGATTGGGGGCCAGCGAGCGTCAAAAACTCCATTCAGTCTCATCCACCATTTCGTTGACAGCTTGATTTTGTAACAACTGCAGTAATGCCCGATACTCCAGCAGCGTTAGTCAGCACAGATTTTTTCCGACTTTGTTATTTTGCCTTCCACCCAAAGAGCTGAATGTCTGCCTAGTGCGTTTTAATGCCAGCTTTTTAAACAACAGCAAAGCAACGACGGTCTCGGTTATCGAACGGGTCGTTTTAGAGTGAAACTTACGGCAGACATCATGAAAATCCTAAGCGGGTAAGTAACTGGTACTTAGGTCTCTTATGAAGGTCACTGTGCTTGCGGTATTCGCATGCATTGTGCCCCTCCCCCACCTACATTTATTCGTATGCAACAAAATGTCGACGGAATGCTAGCGCGGGGGAGGAGACGGACGAGCTGTAGAAGCACACTTGTTTCGTTTTTACTAATCAGTTCTAATCACATGTTATCGTGATAAAAACAGGCTTGAAGAGTACGTGGAGGAAAGAGAAGGCAAGATCCATGACCTGCAATCCAAGTAAGTTTATAATTTTGTTAGAGCATTTGAAGGTTATAAAGGTTATTCTGATAATGCCCTACGACTGGAAAAAATACCAATTAACCCTTTTCCGCGGGGAAGAACATTTTAAGAATTGTTTTTCGTGTTTGGTGTTGTCACGGCGGATTATATTTTACAAGATAAAACTTAATCTGAGTGTATCCAGTAAGTGGAATTATGATGTTATATGGTCAGAAAAGCTTTTTAAGAGGTGAGTAAAACTCTCCTTGTATTGTGTGTGGCCCTCGATTGACTTTAAAATGTTTTTACTTTATGTTTTTGTTTCAAAAGCCAAAAGTTGAAATTGACCTATGTAAAATGATTGCTTTCTAACGAGATCTTTGCTCCCTAACAAGCAAAAAGGATTTTGGAACATTAGAGGTTTTATCTGCATGTACACAAATTATCCGCTAGGTTTCTTGTGGTCGTATGGCTTCAGCCGAAATTGACTTTTCGCATCATCAATCTTGTCCCTGTGTAGACTTGAAGGCACTGTGAACAGATACAGAAAGCTGGACATGACTGTTGGCGAAAAAGAGATGGTCATAGCTGAGCTGCAAGCAAAGTATGTGAGCTTGATAAGGCGGGTAGCGTTATGCTTCTATTTAGAGCACTTCTTCCATTAACGCCTTCCTCTCTTTGGAATTTCTTTGTTAAGGAAGCGCTTCAGTTCTTACTGAATAAGTGTCCCAGTTGTAATCAGCTCCCCATTTTCCGACAAGCGCACTTAAAATTGTTGCTCGCCTCGTTAGCTTGTTTCAAGAGTTACTTTTATCAATCAGCGACCTCTACATGTAATAAGGTCTATGGTTTGTATGCGTAGTTGGGCACCTAGAGTACACCTTGCCATCTCGTACACAGTTTCTCCGTATACGGACCTCTTAGCAGGTAAATAACATCTGGATATATTTGCATTGTTTTATTTCTTTTTGTCAGACTTATCGAGGCTCAGGAGACCACCCGTGAGATACGAAAACTCAACCAAATCATGAAGACAAAGGACGCTAGAATAGAAAACTTGGAGGCTAAGTAAGTCATCGCCTGGCATTTTCTCGCGCTAAGTTTCTTGGCTTATTGTGAGAGCCTGAAAATACAGAGTTCTCTCTTGCTATGCTTCGACAATCATGCGACATCCTCGTAAAAGATACTTCTGAGATTTGAACGGAAACTTTCCACGAATGTTCATCTAATGTTCGAATCCCAGACGTCTTTCGTGCGATGCAAGTGAATTAACGAAGAGATTATTTTGTTTTATAAGTTACTATCTTAAGAAGTGGACAATACAGAGAAAACTGTGGAAGTCCTTCAAACAGAACTAGCAGATTTGACATAGTCTGGCGAATGTTTTTTCTCTCCGTCTAGTATTCGGTCATTGCTTTTGATAATAAGTGTCATACATCTATTATATAATGTCTTTCTGTTGTTTCAAGACGTTGTAAGCATTTGTGGAGAGATAATTCTCTTGTTTTGTCTACTTTTCAGAATTGAGAGCGTGGAAAGTCAATTCACTAACCAGGACAGTGATCTTAAATTGAAAGAAGAGAAAATCGACACGCTTCAGAAGAGGTAACGCTTTTTCATTTGGCATCTTGTCTTGAGTACAACAAGCAATTTCCGAGTTGCTTTTTACCTCTGTTTCAAAACGAGTCCTGGTGCACAATCTTTCATACGGAAATGAATTTGATTTGCAAGACAATGAGCGTGCGAGGAAAGCTCATTGCAATATGAAAGGTTGTTCACCAAGACTCGTTTTGAAACGGAGGCATAAGCAACTCGGAAGTGGCCTGTTGATCAAGGTCGCCCGTCTTGTTCATTAGGAGTGTTTTGTCCGGGATATTTTTCGCTTTAAAACCACGGGCGGATTTAGGGAGGGGATGGTGGGGTGTGGCCTGGGTAGCTAACCACCCATAATAAAAAAATGATTAAAAAAAAACATGAAAAAGATTGTGAATATTATGGCAGAAATAAAAGCGAACACTCTTGACAGGTACCTCATAAGAATTCCCACTCTTTGGCATGGTTAGTATTTCTGGTGTGGCAGTTTTAAATTAGGTCCCAATTCTCCAATTGGAACATTGTGCAGGCATGCTCCATTGATTCTGCAAACCTAAGGTAACAACCACTCCCCTCCGGCTAAAAACCTTGGATTCACCTCTGAAAACGTCCATAAGGCCTGGTCATTCTATACATTTTTTTTTCAGTGCAAGTGGCTTTCAGTAACAGTTGTTAACGAATGGTTTATTTCTCTGTCAGGTTGGACGAGACTCTCAATTTAAATAACAAACTCGATCAGTCCGTACGTAAGAAAGAGGAGAATATCCGTACGCTGGAGAAAACACTTCAGGCAAACGAACAAAGGTACGAAATGGCTAAGTGACTTCTCGCAGATTTTCTTATCATACTAACGGACGCGAAGATTTGGAGTTTGAAGTTTAACACTGCGTCTGAATAGCGGACCATGCCTTATCTTAAGGTGCTGTAAAACCTGGCAACGTTTCATGGGATTTGGTTCGTAAATAGTAGGCTATTCCCGTGTTGCCTTTTGCTTCTCTGTCGCAACGAGTTCGTGCGAAATCATTCATTTGAAAATGAGTTTCTTCTATAGGTTCAGTTTCATGCAAATCAAATTAGTCCTCGTTTGAAAGATTTTACACGAGGACTCGTTTTGTATCAGAGGCTCAAGGTATCCGGGAAATGACATATTTGTTGTACTGTTGCGACAGCCATAAAACAACGCCAAACATTATTACAGCGTTCCACTTCGTACACTACTTGCTGAAACGAAAACACCGCAACTCATTTATGTTAGAGTGTGGTTCACTAGAGAATTTTCATTCAAGTAGCGAGATGAACGAGGTTGATCACGATATTTGTAGCAAATGTAGCTGCTGAACATGTTAAAACGTCCTCTGTACTGTATTTCAGGGAAGAGGAACTGGAGCAATTGCTTGAAACAAAAACTGCAAAAGTGTTGGAATACAAGAACAGGTAACGAGACGTGTTCATCCAGTACTTCTCAACTGTGTGGTCAGAACACGTAATTTCTTGCTACAGTGCAAGAGCTGTTTCAAGCAAACCAATGAGGAGGATAGAGAAAATCTTGTACTGTGTTGAATTCGTAAAACTAACATTCTGGAGTAACGTTTGAAGGTCGGCACACACCAGGGGACATGCTGCGGGCACCTGAAGCGGAGCAAGCCCCTTCCTGTACACGCCACATAGGACGCATGCTGCAGGGACAGTACGCCAGCTTGTGCACACCAAGCGGATATTGGTTCATTTCTATGTTGTAGTGGGATCACTTTAAAAGAGCAGTGCACACGATGCGACATTGAAACTTGAGGGCATTCCACTGCTTCCTGACGCGCGAAATCAAACCTACCGAATTACATGCAACATGTTGCGGGGACAAAATCGTGTCCCGGAACGGAACTTTTTCGAAAAAATAGACATGTGACACAACAAAACCTCGCTGCAGCATGTTCCCGCAACATTTTCCCTAGTGTGTGCCGACTTTAAATCGTACTCAGCCGCTTAATTACCAGGCCTGTAGCTGTCCAAACACCGTTTCACATCTCTTGAAACAATAGAAGCCACAGGTTACCAGAACCAATGAAAATACAGGTCTGGAAGAGGTGCTGGACTAGGACAATTACCACCAGGACTAACTATCAGTTTACCCTGTGAGGTAGTTGTGTGTGCAAGTAGCGATGTGTTACGTTTTGCTGGCCTTCGCACTTGGTTCAAAATCACGTGCAATGTCCTCGAGCCAGTAAAAAAGAAGCACATGTTTACTCACTCAATCAGGTTCAAGTACAAAACCAGTCGTTGTGTGGGTCACCTGCTCTATTTCCGCGTTTTCTTGTCGATTACGTGTCGATGTCTGATTGGTCTATTACACTTTTCTCCTCGGTCGTGGTTGGTTTTGCTCTGCTACACTCATAGGAAGAGCGCTGTTTGCTTGTAAGCGCAGTTGCTGTTGCTTATCTACACGGTCCTAATTTACCTTTGTTATTTAGAGTAAAAGAACTAGAAACTGACGTGGACAACAAAGATGACAAGCTTATAGAACTTCAAAAACGGTGAGAATGGAGAATTGAATTACAGAAACAGTTCTTTCCCGGCAGTAACCACCTCAGTACCATTGCAGAATTTCTTCAATTTCTTCTTCCAATCTTTCCGTCCCCATATTGGAAACAGTACTGGTCATTTGAGCCATATGATGTTTAGTTCTTTCCATTTGAAGATTTGGGCCATTTCAGGAATTTGACTGACAATCCGACTCGGGGATTCCCTTCTCCAAACCCTCTTTCCTTCTGACTGGCAAGCTCATAAATTAGATTAAAAGTCCTCTCTGTAACCAGTTATTTATATTTTAGCGGCGTTGTTCCCGAGAAGNTTTCGCTACTCGAGGACTATTACTAATAGACCTCTAGTAGCGTAGCCAATTAAAATGCAGGATTTGCATTAGTCCACTAGTTGGGTGATACTAAAAATAATTAGCCCATGTTTGTCATGGTTTCAGTTCAGTCTCGTTCCAATTCTAAATTCGCGAGAACTCCGCGATAACGTGGTTTCTTGATTTTTAAAAAGAAAAATTTGGAAATAGAAAGGGGTATTTTGTATGTTGATATCAGGTGTGTCCTGTTGTTAATCCATTACCTAGGGTAAAGGAATTGTCAACTACCTTTGGACAAGTTGATAAGCTGGAAAAGGTCAAGAAGGAAATGGAACAGACTGTGTTAAGTCTGGAGACGAAGTAATGTCAAGTTGTGAAATGTTTGTTGTTTTTTACTCCTTACTACATGTTATGCGTTGAACAGCAACATACTGTAATTACAAGATAATTTGGTTTTATCAACTGGGTTGATAAAGTGAATTGGCCACCGTAAAGAGATTCGGTGGCCAATTCACATTATCAACCCAGTTGATAAAACCAAATTATCTTGTTCTACTCCCCAACGACGCAGCACCACAGTTTCTTTAGAAGCCTACCCCCTCTATTCATTTACTGTAGCTACAACCAAACTTGTTAACACCAGAGGAAACCCCGAGATAACAGCGTAAAAATGCCGTGACTTTTACTTATCAAAGTCACTCTTTTGTTAAGAAATGGGAAATATTTACCGTGACTGCACAAACGTGTCAACAGAAATAATGATCGATAATGCGTTTTTGCTTGATTTGACGATCGCACTGGTGGATTGCAAAATTACATGCACTTAGTAATTCTACTCGATTGTTTGTAGGTTGGAAGAAAGTGAAAGCCAGAATAGAAGACTAAACCATAATCTGAAACAGAAAGAAACGAAGATAGAAGGTTTGGAAAAACGGTAATGGCGGCTTGCAACAGTTTGGTTAGGTTTGATCGCTGATATATGAGTTATTAAAGAAACAGTCATGTAAACTATGGGGAGATTAGGCTGTAAATAAAGGCCAGAATAAATATTTGAGGCTTTAGCAGTATTGGAGGTTTATTACCAGTTGCACTATCTGCGCTAATGTAATTTTGTCAGCTCTTGAAAACTTGACGCGCTTATTTACCAAGTACATCTCGCTATAGAAATCATGCAATTAAAACTACAAACCGTTGTATTGAAATGTGGTGGGTTGCTGAGTGTTTTTTTGGACAAAGTTAATGTATTCCATGGATGTATTTGTCTGATCAGGGTGGCAGAAATGGAAGTGAGTCGAGAAGACAACAGTCAGTCACTCAGTATGGCTCTGAAGCAGAAAGATAGCAAGATAGGTCTGTTAACACAGAACCTACAGCAGCAGGAGACTGAGAAAATGGCCTTGGAAGCTAAGTAAGTCTGCATTTTAGATCACAGTGCTTACAGTTAATCTCGTACACTATTAACTGTTTTATTTACACCATATTACTTACAGTTCTCTCGTATCTAACTTAACCTATTTCATGTACTGTATTGTAACTAACTTAACCTATTTCATTGTACGCTTATAGTCGTACGCCCCTAGAGTACTTTTGGGAGGAGTAAGTTTTCGTAACTAATAACAATAGTTTTTTATTCTGTATTTAACTAAAACTTAATCAACGAAGACAGAAAGGTGAATAGCCTGGTTATGCATCTTACTAGTGTAGATGAAGTATTTCAGAAATAGTACTGTCTAATTAAATTTCTTTAATATCTCTTATTCATAGGGGTCAGATATGATACCAAATATAGTTTCTCTTCAATTGTTGACATGAATTCTGACTTTTTTCCCCTCTTTTTCATTTACTTAAAAAATAAAGAAAATGAAGTTTCACTTGCTAGTGTCGCTAAACGAGTCAATTACGTTTACAAAAGTCTTACAAATTGACAGTTAATAAAGGTATGATCAATCGAGTCTTTCTCCCCACAGTAGAGGCATTCATCGTCCCCTTTAACACCATATCGAGAAAACTCCTTTTTGGCAACTATAATTCTATGGATTAATTTAAAGTGGAATTCCTCCAATTTTGTCTCCTTGCAGTAGTTTTTTTTTTCCAGGCATTCGTAGTGAAAACGCCAGTCACCAATAACGGTTCTTTTCAGAACTTCTCTAACCCAGAAGATCACACTAAACGAACTATTGGATAATTCAGTTGAATATTCGTAAATACTAATGGGTAGCTTACTACTTAAATAACCTTCATGCCTTTCTCTATAATCTTTTATTTCATACGCGGTTCTTTAACGCTTCCTTCGAACGCATTTCTTTCTACAGATTAGAAGAAGTTACAGCCCAGGCTAATACGTTCTCTCGGCTGATCGAGCAGAGGGAGAAACAGGTACGAGGCCTGAAAACGAGGCTGGAGGAAGCTGTCCATCAAAATAACAAGATGACGCACGCGGCCGAGCTGAAGGATGACAAAATACAGACACTAGAGAAAAGGTTTGGATTTAACTGTATTCGAGAGTTATCAAATTGGTGTCCGCCCCCACCCCCTTCCCGAATAACCTGAGGGGACGCAGTAGCAGAATTTAGACGCCGCAATTAGTGCTCAATCAGCGCGCCGAAGCGTCGTCGAATCTTTTTTGAAATACTCGAAGGTTNGACGCTAATCTCTTTGCTTGTTTTATTTTTGATTCCTTCTAGGGATCGTATCTACGCCCTCCAACGTCAGAAAGAACGACTCGAGGAACAAGTTGATTTAGCAAACAAAGCGTTAGCAGAGAGCGCCATCAAACCGAAAAAGTGAGATAAATCTTTGAATACTACAGGAAATAAATGTACTTCTTCCTCTCTCAGAGAGGGTTTCCTGTCTGTTCACTTCGTTACCTTCGTTGGTTACCTTGGGTCATGTTAAATACTGACAATGGTTCTTATAATTGATTTACAGAAAACCTAACTTCCTAACAAGGGTCATGAGAAAAGCTGGATTAAAAAAGGCGAGAGAAAAGTTTATTCATTTACATTAAGTTTACCGGTTGTCTACGACCATTTCGGTTTTCGATGACGACCCATTTTGTTATTAACAGTGTTTCTTTTTTATTTATTTTATTTTTTTATTATTTATTTTTTTATATTTTTTTTCTTTTAACAGAAGAAAGACGAAACTCCCAAAAACAAACGACATAGTGTACAGCTTATTCGCGTCGACAACAGTCCGTATTTGGAGGAGTTCGAAACTGGAACGCTAGTGGCCACACCCGTTAACAGACGAGACGAGACAGGCAGCGAAGGTTCACGGGAAAGCTCCACATCCGGGGACTCTAGAGCGGCCACCAAGAGTCTGTTGAATTCCAGTTTAATTAGTGCCCAGTCCGAAGTTATCCTCAAGCGACAGAGAGAAGGTTACATGTCGCCTTACGTTAGCACGCCCGTTCTGCCACGCCCGGACGAATCGGAGGCCGTGCGCCTCCGTTCTGCCACCCACGACATGTCTGCGTTCCGTGCGCGGCAAGTTCGCTCTGAGATATTTAACGATAGTGACTGGTCGCCTGGTCGCCTCGGTCGGCCGCGGAGCATGGACTCGCTGGACAAGTTGCCCAGCAGCTCGTCTACTCTGACTCCTGGTGATGGGGAATTGGGGGATGGACTTCCGGCGAAGGAAGAAGGGGGATCTCCAGCGAGGTACTTGAAGCAGCCAGGGATGAAACACCTTACTCCGTCTGCTTCCCCCTCAGGCATGAGGAAGCATCACTGGGCGCGAAGCAGCCCCAACCTCTCCCCGGTTGTTTCAAGAAAGGAATATCCAGTTTCGCTTGAGCCTCTACCCCCCTCCCCACCCTCACCTGCATCCTTGCCAAGGTCAAGTTCTCACTCCTCGCCCGTTCCTCGCAGAAAGCTTGAAGAGAGACCACCAACAGGCAGCCCTCGCCACAGTCCTGTTCTAGCCAGGAAGGACAATAGTACATTTTNCACCCTCACCTGCATCCTTGCCAAGGTCAAGTTCTCACTCCTCGCCCGTTCCTCGCAGGAAGCTTGAAGAGAGACCACCTACAGGCAGCCCTCGCCACAGTCCTGTTCTAGCCAGGAAGGGCGATAGTACATTTTCTCCTTCGCAAAGAGACCCAAGAAGGTCGAGTGTACCTAACCACAACACTCAAAACCTGAATACTGGACCAGTTCGAGAACGATTAGAGGAATCAGCTAAAAGTAAAGTTTCAGTGCAAGTTATATCGTCTGTAAATGCGTCTAATAGTAATGCTTCGCCGTTAGTGTCTACTGGGACCATTTCATCTCCATTTCAGGAAGATCAGGTGAAGAGAATTCCTGTGGAAGGGGCGAAGAATGGCCCACAGGTGCAGGCGTTTAATGGAGGTGTTTCAAGTCCTCATCAAGAGAGACAGCGGAGTGGTAGCGCCGATAGACGTGCAGAACCCACCTCATCCACTCCCCGTGGATTTCAGCGGCAAGCGAGCTTTAGTGGAGATAAAAACATGGTTAAGGCTGCAGAGCCTTTTAGGAACTATAACACCATGCCTGCGCATGTTAAGGACACAAGAGAAAGGAGTGCCAGTGGAGATCAGAGCTCTGCTAAGGCATCAGAGCCTGCAAGAAACCACAACGCCGTAGCACAGCAGTCAAGAGAAAAGAGCTTAGGTGGTGACAAAAACGATGGCCCTCGAATAATCCAGATATCGCAGATGAAAGAGGGGCCTATTCGTGACACTGTTCAAAAAGGCCCGGCCCATTTACGAGAAAGGAGCCTTAGTAACGGCAGAAATGAAGGACTCAGAGCATCGCAACGACAAGGTACTGTATTTGCAGCTTCATCTGGACCCACACGACAAAGCGTTCCAGTGACAGCTCATTACGTTACAAGTGGGACTGTTGCCAAGAGCGAGACGTCGTCCATTTCGGCAGCTAGTACAGCTGGAGTGGGAACCTCAGTTTACATAGACGCAACAGGGGTAGATTTGAGTTCAACTCCTGTGACTTCTCGGGGAAGCCGAGGGGAAGTCAGTTCGTCAGCGGTGTTTGCGATTGTTCGAGACAAACACGGAGACGAGCACGTGCTACCTGGGTCAAACAACACGCCACCTTCACGTGACGTATCACGTGAAATGTCACGCGCCATTCCCGCGTCTGAGCCCAGATCGCGGTCAAATAGCAGTACCCCCGTGTCGAGAACTCCTGTTGGTTCAGAGACTAGTTCAACATCACGGTATAGTGCGGCTTCCGTATCACGAAACGGTGTCGCCACCAATCCGATTGAATTGAAACCATCTGCGAACGAACGTGACGAGAACAGAAATGAAACTGTACATATGACAACAGCGACCATGCAAGAGACCGCCAAACAGAACGTTTCAAGCGTACGAGCGCGCATTTTTGAAATCGAACACCAGTCTCCTCCTGCAGTCGGCGGTAGAGCGCCGCCACAAGCGCAGGTTGACGACGATGATGACGCGCTTTCCGTGTCGTCGCATCACAGCCGGGATTGCTCCCCCGCGCTGAGAAAAGTACGGAAGGCAAGGAAGGCGAAGGAGAAAGAAATTTTCACGGATTCGCCCGCTTCGTCAGCAACTGGTTCCCCGGCGCCGAGTCAAAGGTCCAGCGCGGATGAGAGGTCACGGGCGAGATCAGTGGGGCCTAACCAGGGGGATGGGAAAAAATCCTCGATTTGGTACGAATACGGTTGTGTTTGATTATCAAATCAAACCAAGCATTCATTATAAGAGCATTTGCAGTGAAATTGTTATTTATATATTGATGCATCGACCAATTCTGCTAAAATAAAAGTACTGCTCGGGAATACAGTCGAAATTCACGCGGTTTACCACCTGTTCTGCGAATCTAGGCTAGTCACTTGAAGGAAGTTTCACTCGGGGCCGATGTAAACTGTACAACCTTTCCAAAAGAACAACTTGGTTGCGACTGTCGCCCACGAAACGAAAAAATGTGGTAGCATTTTGAAACACGTATTAAAACCTTAAGAAAATTGTAGCCCAACCACATTTCAGTTATCAAAATTGTATGTACGCTAACCAAATTCTTTTCTCCTAAATCGGCCATGTTCGTGAGCAAGAGAGAAATTAGAGATCTTTCACATTTGCATAGTCACTCAAGTAAGTTTGATTGTACTTCATTCTTCTGCGGTGTTTCAAATTGAGTTTTCAACCTGTGACCAGGCTTCCCTTGCCAAGCGAGAAACGAGAACAGCCAGAAACGAAGCGGTTTTGTTCGAGATAAGGAAAATGAAGCGGTCGTGGGATGTTTTTGTATGTTTGGTAGAGCGAAGCTTGATCCGAAGGTTATTGTTGCTATCCTCTGCAACTCCGCTGGCCAGTAGAGTAAGGCTTGTAAATATCTAGAATTATGTACGATTGTTAGCCGTTGCTTTGTTTAAATAGCTAGCTGTAATTAGATCCCGCCGAATCCTCTTGAGTTGATTAATTTATTTAAACAATGCACTTCGCAAGTTACCATTTTCCGTATGAGCACAGAAGACGAGCAGACATCTTTTTTCTTAGTTCGTCGAGTGTGACGTGAAGGAACGCGCGAGATGAGGAATGTTCGCGTTAGGGCGAGAACAGCGCGTGGCCATTTTTTTATCGCATTTATTTCGCATCGCACTCGACGGTTTACTAAAAATAGAAGTTGCTACTAGTCTAGGATGGCCAATGTCGTAAAATAAAATCAGCTAATCTACTCCCATGATGAATGTATTAAGTGATACTATATTTTGGAAAATCGAGTAAGGAATTTATAGTCAATTAGATCGATTTGCGATGCAAAATAAAAAATGAAAAAAAAAACATTGAGATAATAGGATTTTCTTTGTTTCCAAATATTCAGGACGTTTTATTTATATTTATAGATATTTAATAAAGTAGCTACCAGCTTAATAATTTGTAAATGAGACGTTTTCTCGAAATGGTGAATTTTGACGTAACCATCCATTCATTGATCACGTTTGTAATTACGCTANACAAGATAATTTGGTTTTATCAACTGGGTTGATAAAGTGAATTGGCCACCGTAAAGAGATTCGGTGGCCAATTCACATTATCAACCCAGTTGATAAAACCAAATTATCTTGTTCTACTCCCCAACGACGCAGCACCACAGTTTCTTTAGAAGCCTACCCCCTCTATTCATTTACTGTAGCTACAACCAAACTTGTTAACACCAGAGGAAACCCCGAGATAACAGCGTAAAAATGCCGTGACTTTTACTTATCAAAGTCACTCTTTTGTTAAGAAATGGGAAATATTTACCGTGACTGCACAAACGTGTCAACAGAAATAATGATCGATAATGCGTTTTTGCTTGATTTGACGATCGCACTGGTGGATTGCAAAATTACATGCACTTAGTAATTCTACTCGATTGTTTGTAGGTTGGAAGAAAGTGAAAGCCAGAATAGAAGACTAAACCATAATCTGAAACAGAAAGAAACGAAGATAGAAGGTTTGGAAAAACGGTAATGGCGGCTTGCAACAGTTTGGTTAGGTTTGATCGCTGATATATGAGTTATTAAAGAAACAGTCATGTAAACTATGGGGAGATTAGGCTGTAAATAAAGGCCAGAATAAATATTTGAGGCTTTAGCAGTATTGGAGGTTTATTACCAGTTGCACTATCTGCGCTAATGTAATTTTGTCAGCTCTTGAAAACTTGACGCGCTTATTTACCAAGTACATCTCGCTATAGAAATCATGCAATTAAAACTACAAACCGTTGTATTGAAATGTGGTGGGTTGCTGAGTGTTTTTTTGGACAAAGTTAATGTATTCCATGGATGTATTTGTCTGATCAGGGTGGCAGAAATGGAAGTGAGTCGAGAAGACAACAGTCAGTCACTCAGTATGGCTCTGAAGCAGAAAGATAGCAAGATAGGTCTGTTAACACAGAACCTACAGCAGCAGGAGACTGAGAAAATGGCCTTGGAAGCTAAGTAAGTCTGCATTTTAGATCACAGTGCTTACAGTTAATCTCGTACACTATTAACTGTTTTATTTACACCATATTACTTACAGTTCTCTCGTATCTAACTTAACCTATTTCATGTACTGTATTGTAACTAACTTAACCTATTTCATTGTACGCTTATAGTCGTACGCCCCTAGAGTACTTTTGGGAGGAGTAAGTTTTCGTAACTAATAACAATAGTTTTTTATTCTGTATTTAACTAAAACTTAATCAACGAAGACAGAAAGGTGAATAGCCTGGTTATGCATCTTACTAGTGTAGATGAAGTATTTCAGAAATAGTACTGTCTAATTAAATTTCTTTAATATCTCTTATTCATAGGGGTCAGATATGATACCAAATATAGTTTCTCTTCAATTGTTGACATGAATTCTGACTTTTTTCCCCTCTTTTTCATTTACTTAAAAAATAAAGAAAATGAAGTTTCACTTGCTAGTGTCGCTAAACGAGTCAATTACGTTTACAAAAGTCTTACAAATTGACAGTTAATAAAGGTATGATCAATCGAGTCTTTCTCCCCACAGTAGAGGCATTCATCGTCCCCTTTAACACCATATCGAGAAAACTCCTTTTTGGCAACTATAATTCTATGGATTAATTTAAAGTGGAATTCCTCCAATTTTGTCTCCTTGCAGTAGTTTTTTTTTTCCAGGCATTCGTAGTGAAAACGCCAGTCACCAATAACGGTTCTTTTCAGAACTTCTCTAACCCAGAAGATCACACTAAACGAACTATTGGATAATTCAGTTGAATATTCGTAAATACTAATGGGTAGCTTACTACTTAAATAACCTTCATGCCTTTCTCTATAATCTTTTATTTCATACGCGGTTCTTTAACGCTTCCTTCGAACGCATTTCTTTCTACAGATTAGAAGAAGTTACAGCCCAGGCTAATACGTTCTCTCGGCTGATCGAGCAGAGGGAGAAACAGGTACGAGGCCTGAAAACGAGGCTGGAGGAAGCTGTCCATCAAAATAACAAGATGACGCACGCGGCCGAGCTGAAGGATGACAAAATACAGACACTAGAGAAAAGGTTTGGATTTAACTGTATTCGAGAGTTATCAAATTGGTGTCCGCCCCCACCCCCTTCCCGAATAACCTGAGGGGACGCAGTAGCAGAATTTAGACGCCGCAATTAGTGCTCAATCAGCGCGCCGAAGCGTCGTCGAATCTTTTTTGAAATACTCGAAGGTTTTCCAAAGGTTCGTTAAAGGACTCTGTAGATTTTCCGGAGCTTCGTGAGATTACCCGAAGATTTTCAGAGCCTTGTTGTCCAATCAAAGTATAGCGCAAGTGCCTCGATTGCCAGGAACAGGTTTCTGTACTTTACTTGCTTCAACGGCTGGTTCCGTCGTCGCCCATGAAGGGGAATTCATACAAAATTTTGTAGACATAAGAAGAGCCAGGCTTTGTCCAACATGTCAGTTTTCTTTTTCTCTTTGTTTTATTTGCAGACTGGAAGCTTCGTCTAAAGAGCAGCAAAAACTTACAGAGGTAAGAACAAAATCTCAACCACCCTCAGCGAAACCCCGACAGAACGCTAAACCTACTGCTTGGCTTGTTGTTTAGAGAGGCTTTTAAAAGCTCAATTTATACGAAATCTGGCGCTTCCAAATGTAGGTACGCCGACCGATAGTTCTAGGCACGGTCTGCTTTATTAAACGAGAAAATATGTTTGATTGTTTTCAACTGCACTCCTGATTATTTCAGCGAAAAAACTATCTAGTGATTCTTGGTAGAAATTAGCTCATCTAATTCTGAGATGTGGGCGAGATGTTTTATTTTTATGGACGGGCGTTTTTAAAGGTATTGAAAAGGTTTTTGCTTTTGATAGATCATTCATTCATCCTGCAACAGACAAGTGCATACACGTTTTCAGGCGGCGTAACTTCTGCGTAACAGAGCTTATGCAAGCAGCCTTACCGTAGCCAGCCAGCCAACAAACGTTTGAAAGTCATAATTAGAAAAATCAAAGTGCCCTTGAGCCTCCAATCCGGCTAAAGTACTAGAATCAAGTTGTAGTATTTTTGTATTGACAAGAGCCGGATCTAACAATTGATAATTAATAAAGGTGACCTTCATTAATAGGTCACTAGGTCACTTCAAATAAAAAAATAAAACTACATCGCTACAACATTACGTTATGATGCCACCAAAAGCTCTAATATCTGCCATAATGCCTGTTGCTTCAACTCTAGTACTAAGCTCCAAGTTATAGTGACATTCACGTGTCCACTCTTCCCCTGCCTCTTGTGAGATTCTCGCGAAAACAGGTCCTCGCAGTTGAAAGACAGCCCCGACTAGCACAGTGAGTTACTGTTAAATTGATTTCGCCAGTGACACCCACCGAACTTTCACTGTCGCACAGGTGGAGATGCTTTAAGAGTATTTCCTGTCCTTATGACCGTTTGTATAACTTTTCTATAACACAAACATACTTATCCCTCTACCCGGAAAGTGACGTCAAGTAATTGTACTTAACGTTACACTTCATGATTTTCATGCCTCATCAAATGTGCCTTCTGATTACCACATATTTACAATTTTATTTGGCAAGAACAACCTGTGCTCTCTGATCTAGAACTATTGTCTGAAGGCGTGTGTTACTCCGACATGTCATTTGAACTCACTCTGAGGGAATTGTATCGCATTCATTGGTACGACGTTTTCTTCTTTCTTTTGGGAGCCCTTCTGAGCTTTGCTGATCCAGTTACCGATATACTCACACTGGTGGTATTCTANATGTGGGCGAGATGTTTTATTTTTATGGACGGGCGCTTTTAAAGGTATTGAAAAGGTTTTTGCTTTTGATAGATCATTCATTCATCCTGCAACAGACAAGTGCATACACGTTTTCAGCCGGCGTAACTTCTGCGTATCAGAGCTTGTGCAAGCAGCCTTACCGTAGCCAGCCAGCCAACAAACGTTTGAAAGTCATAATTAGAAAAATCAAAGTGCCCTTGAGCCCCCAATCCCGCTAAAGTACTAGAATCAAGTTGTAATACTTTTGTACTGACAAGAGCCGGATCTAACAATTGATAACTAATGAAGGTGACCTTCATTAATAGGTCACTAGGTAAACTGACTAGGTCAATACTGACTTTCGCGGGAAAAAATTAAAAACCCAGCGCTTGTCAAAAATTATATTTTTTCACCAGAAATTTAACTCGGAACATATACATATTTATATTCGTTTGAATCGTCGATGAAATGACCTTTTCCGGATATT